TTCTCAAATGTAATCTGTGAATGCTGTGTGTGGAAAATACAGTGAATCCTGTATGCCCGTCTAGCATAGATACTTAAGATTGCAGGATGAAGAAAATGTTAGTAAAAGTTTCTTGCCATACCAGAACTGAGAGAAACAAACCTCACTCAGGCAATATATGTAATTTTTGTTGATACTGACTGAAAATGTGTATATGTGGAACAAAAGCAAGTTGTGAACCTGAGGAAGAGGGATTTTGGAAGGTGAGGTTCAGTAGCTGGTTGGCAGAAATTACTAATACAGTAGTTTGATAGGATTTGTCTTAAAGGAAACTGTCTATTGATCTTAGTGTTAAAATTTTTTTTAAAATAACTTTATATGTACCCCTAGCACATGATTACAAGCTACTATGCCTCAGTAAATGAGGGGACTAAATTAAGGATGCTCTTCAGTTTTATTTTATTTCTTAGGCAGGTAATTCTCCTGTATTTACTTGCAATATTTGAATAGTGTAGTATTTGATCAGTATAACAATGATATAATTAGATACTAGAATATCTTAAACGTGTAACCTCCTAGCAAAACAAATCAATATATCTAGCTAATAACATATGATACTAAGAATAAATTGAGCACGTAGATTACAAACTGATGCTCATCTAATTAATTTTGTGGCTAATCTCATATATTGAAGCTCGTTTTCTGTCAAAACAGAACAGAGGCAAAATTAGTCTAAAAATTATTAGCAGAAATAATATGTTCCCATTTACCCAGAGGAAAAAATGAACTTTAAATGCAGCTGCCGTAGATCGCTTGAAAATCTAGGGCTGGATGCAGTTAAGATACAGACAGGGCACAAAGGAGGGGACTCTACGTAAGTGTAACCACTTTTAACTAACATAATCCATAGCCTAAATGCCAAATTGGAGATATGATGCTCCAATTGCCCTGGCACGTTGAAGGACAAACATTTTACCAGTCCTATACTATTAATGCCTACAAGATCCCTTGATCATTGATGGAATTATATTTATTACAGCAGGCTGCCATGGTCAAATCAATTCCAAATTGTCTTGAAAAGATACCACAGGTGAACTACAGTTGAACCTCTAATTAAGTAAGATAGTTTCTTCCTTGAAAATGAGACACTGTTTTAGTAGCACAGTAACAGAATGCCTTGTTCTATCTATAATTAATCTAATTAATCTATAATTAATAATCCTAAAGATCAAAGGAAACGTGATTCTAGAAGAAAATGGCTTTTGAAAATCCTCTGGTGCTAAGTAGTGACAACTACTTCTCAAGCCATTCTGCAGTTTTTTAGCACTCGGTGCCCTTTTGCATCATAGAACAGGCCCTGTCATAAAAAAAAAAAAAACCTCTCTGAAAAAATGCTTTCAGTGAGATACAGTCAATAGATATTTATCATTTATTCATTCTTGGCATCAAATCTTTCTTATTCTATGCCTGGCCTCACCTTTATTATTGTACAGATCTTATGTATTTACGTAGCACAATTTCATACAAAGTAGAGTTAGGTTGCTGCCCTGTAAAATACACTGCACTAGTAAGTCTCAACTGCTATCATTTTGAAAGAGGTCCCCTCCCCTAAAATAAGGAATTCTTTCTATTTTTTCAGCACTGTATGGCACCAGAGTTTCTTTTGATAGAGACAGTCAAGAAAGCTTCTCCATATCGGCAGGCAAGCTGATGAGGCTTTAGTTCTCTCCTTCTCCTTGCTGTCTTATTTTCCGCTCCTCAGCTATTGTATTGCCAATGTCCCAAATTCTCCCTCTCTCTTAAGAGCATAGCGCAGATTTGTATGCACACAGGGTTCCACTGTCACTGCAGCAGGGATGGCTAAAGCTTATATCTGGGCTTAAAGCTGGCCAGAGCAGTTTTATTGTCCTTCAAATCATTGTGCAGAGTGTGAGCTCTGTAACAGAGCTCCAGAGGCATCTGTATTCTCCCTGTCGAGCTGGCGCCATAACTGACCTTGTGTCTGAGGGTTGGGACAATTACTGCAAGAAGATTTAGCTCACTTACCAGCCACACAAAGTTAATGTATCTTTCATTCCCCATAAATCCAAACCTGCTTTGGATCAGGCCTCGGGTGGGGGCGGAGGGGGAAGGAGAATGCGTGGAAAAGAAATAAGACAAAAGAGAAAAGAAAGAATTAGGAAAGGAAGGAGAGACAAGGGGTCAAATCTCTCTCTCATTTGACCAGATGAAATAAGTAGTTTTCTCAGAGGAGGAATTAAAGGAGAATATTAACAGGAAAATTAAAAAAAAAAAAGAAATGACACTACTACATTGATTACTACTGAATAGTGTTTATTTATTCATGATTTTAAATTTTGTATCATTTGCTAGCAGAACTCGTACTGCTCTCATTTTGATAAAGGCTTGCTGAATACCTCTACAGCTCTCTGTTTATAGGATATATGCCTTAGTGGCAAGTGTTTCTATTCTAAAGCACACCATCACATTAGGCTTATTGAAAGAATTTGCCTTTTAGTGATATTCCTCTAATATGAGGGGCTTATTACTTAGACTGTTCTCCAAGGAAGACTTCTGGGCATACATTGATACTGGTGAATGTTCTGATTTTGCTTTACTTTCACAGTGAAGCATCTTGCAAAGGTATCAGAGAAAGGCATCCCTAATTACAGAGTGGCCTTTCCGTTCCTGCTCTTGATATTCCTCTGGGCCAGGTCACTTCTTCTCAAAGGACACCTTGCAGGCAAAGAATGAGGAAAAAAAATATTTAAATGGCCTCCTTTCAGATATTCTTGGCATTACTCCTGACATAATAGAGAATTCCCCTCGTCTTGACTCTTCTAATCACAGAGATCTAGGAAATGTCTGAGGATGGTTTCAGCTTTCCTAGTGAGATGGGATGGCTCCACTGGCTCCTTTGCTTATAGAAATTCATGCAAAGAAAAGGGACAGTGGTAAAGGGCCATTCTCCCTGTTCCACTCCACTTTTGAATGTTAGCTAGAGTGACTTGAGTAGAAAATAGGGACTGGGACTGATGCTACAAGACCAAGAAATTCCCTGCAGAGATCTCCTGCTCCACGTGTCTTACGCTAGTACAGTTCATGTAATTACCCTGAAGCACAGAACACTTGTACAATGCACTGAGCATGAAAAGCGCTTTGAAAGTGCTAACATTTCAATGTAACACCTAAAAAAAGTCATCTTCTCCATGTCTGGCACGTGCAGGTTTGCAGCTTGAGGATTTTATCTTAAGAAAATCAGTTCCATCTGAAAGGCACTGCCAGGGAGCAGCAAGTGTGAGCTGCTCTGCAAGGGAAGGCGAGCTGGGAGCTGTGGGCAGTAGCAAGGCAGGCAGGACAGTGGCCTCGCAGGCAAGGACACAGTCCCACAGTACTTGCGTGAAGCGAGCACACTGGTGACTGTAGCTAGGGTCAGCCACAGTCCAGTGACTGCCAGACAAGTCCATAGTGGTGAGGCAGGTCTGAAGTCAAGCCAGGAAGTTAAGTCAAGTGAGTCCGGATCAGGTCTGGGGACAGTAACCAGGGTCAGGCAATGGTCTAGTAGTGATCACCAGACAAGTCCATAGTGACGAGGCAGGTCTGAGGTCAAGCCAGGAGGTCTAGCTCATAGGTCAGGGTCCAGGTCCAGATCAGTGGGGCTCATGGCTAGGCAGATACCAAGGGTGAGAGCCTGACCTTAAAAGCAGCTCCCAGAGAAAGAGGGGCAGGCCCCTGCTGAGGTTTCCCAAGGCCACAGAGCTATGCTCTGAAAGTTGGCCCTAGCCCAGGCAGGCAAATGCCCAGGAGAGAGGATGCGCTCTGGGCCTGACAGGCAACAAGTTTCAATAAAATCCTGTACCCTGAGCTGTGGGCAACCACAAGAAAAGGAAGATCAGCTGGTGATCCATCACCTGAAGTGAACGTTGGGATAAAAGGCCAGTCTGACATCATGCTTTTCTGTGTGAAGAGGTTCCTGACACACTGAGTTAGAATAAAGACTTTAGCATTGCAGAGACACAAAATGTCTTAGAATCAACTGTGGCTCTGGCTGTACTGCTTTAAAAAAAAAAAAAAAAGAGGATCAAGAGTTGACCCTTAGCCTCAGGACCAAGTAGCTAGCCCTGACAGGCTCATGTGCACACAGATTAGACCCTTTTGTTGTAGATGTGTCTGGGACATTTTAAAACAGACCAGGGAGTGAATTAACAATTAACTGAGTACTCAGGTAACCAGTGTTCTAGCCCACTCCCTGGCCTTCTTTTATTTAGCAGCATAGAAGTATCCTCTGAATGTTTACAAGACCTCTGATGGTACTGGTTTTTCATTGCAAAATAGCAATGATCTGGCATTTCTGGAGATGATGTGTCACATTACTGAACTGGTATTTGTTTAGGTGTTCAAAATCAGGCCTTAGAAGGGAGTCTGTGAATAAACTTCATCTCTAAGTTTTTTCTGTTATGATTGTGTAGGAGGCAAAAAAGGAAAATTGTCACCTCAGTAGAACATCAGGACTGCCTTCACCTCCACCGAAAAAGTAATCAAGTGACTCAGTCAGTCAGACAAGTGCTATGACAGAAAAATATGCCAGGGCTGATGGGTGCAGGAGGTCTACCAGGCCAGTCTGAGCTGGCAGTGTCACAAGCTCCATATATTTTGCTGTCAACACCACTACACAGACTAGCCATCATGTTCTGCTGCAAAGTGAAAGGCAGCCAAATGAGCTGCATAAATAACCATGTGTGATAAAGTCAGCTCCATGATTTGAACAGAATGGTAAATGTCAAATTTGGGACTTACTCTCCAGATACCAGTTTAGTAGTAATTCTGATTTTCTGAGCAACATTCAAAAATTCATGAATGTCTCTCTGCATGGAAATAGTTTCTGTTGTCCCTCAAACGCTGTTCAATTCAAGTCCTCATATGACAGGAAAAAAGATATGCTCTGCATCTGGCTGTTCTCTTGGTATTTATTTCCACCATTCAACTTCATTTAATAACATTGCATTACTGTGGGATGCAATTGAGTTCTTGGGTGTTATCAAGTGAGAGCCTATCCAGTCCTCTCTAGGACTGCAGTAGGGACAAGGAGAGGGTGGTAGCTGCTAAGGAAAGGTGGGCCTTGTGGAACAACAGTTCTGCAGGTTATACAGTATGTTGGGGGGGGGATATTTAGTTTTGCCACTAATCAGCAAACATGTCCTGAAAACAGGAGAGAGAAAGCCATGGTGGTCTATGGACTGAGACTAGCCTGGCATTTCCTTTCATGATTTTTACCTGTATGAGGTCCGTGAAGATCACTCTGCTGGTGCAGGTCATGACGACAGCATTCTTCTTCTTCAATCTCAGTGTCGTGATCTTGGTCCTGGTATGTAGTTGGTAGTTTCTCCCATCACAGGAGCTCAGACAAGGATAGTAGACAGAATATCAGTTGTGCCAGTTCCCCCTGTTCAATTCTAGCCTGTCCCAAGGTATAGGAACTGGGACTTCTCCCAAGCAGTCTCTAAATCCCAACTGGTAATAAGCTCATGCGGAGAACAAATCCTAGGTGATTTCTGTGAAAAGGAATTATTTAGTAGTTAATAGAAGAGGCTTGTACTGATTACTCTTTTTACACTGGAAAGTAAAAAGTCCTTACAAAGTTTAACACTCTGAAAAACAACTTAGATTTCGCTGTATTTACTATGCATCGTAGCACCACTGAGGCTTTTTTCTCATTCATGTGGCATTTATATCACAGTGCACTAAATTATCAGTGAAATAATGCTGATCTGCCACAGGGCTGATTACTTTTTAAAAGACTAGGGAGTCAGGAGAAACAGCATCATGACTTTGACACAAGCAAGAGTACCGTTACTTGGTGAGAAACTGAAATTGTGTCAGAAAAGGACAATGCATTCAGTGAGCCTGGAGGGACAGCCTGCATTCCCGTGGCTGTATATATCAGTGTGATGCTAGTCAAAAGTCGGATCTGACGTTGCTATTCTGCTTCATTTTGTTGGCTTCAGCAAAATTTAGGCCACAGCTGTGTTACTGAGAACCTTCTGGAGGCAATCTCCATCCTTCCTCAACATCTGCACACATCTGTACACAGCTTTGCACCTAGAAACTTTAAAATATTCATTTCCTTATGGACTTCAAAGCTGAGCACAGTAAGCCAGCTGGAAAAAAGAATAGATCTGTGTAAACCCTTATGTGTTTTGTCATGATTTTCTCCCCTGTTCTAGTACCTTAAAACATACCATTTCCTAAATATGATTTGTTGCTAGAGGTTAGGCTTTGCAGAAGGTGTATGATGCATATGATATAATATTCTTTGATGGCATCTTCTATTTTTCTGAATACTATAAAAACAAGTACTTGTGGAGATTATGTTGAAGCAGGAGTCATCAAAACCTAGCTTTGAACATATGTGATACAGCTGGCAATAATATTTTCCTTATAATTCACTAGTGTAGTACATTTGACTAATGAGCATATTCATAATTTCTTGAAACCAAAATTTAACCATGACTAATAGAGGGGAAAATCAAATTTTCTGAAGTCTGTGACTAGCAAAGGGGAGGTGAAAGTATCCCTCACCAGAAGAGAAATTCTTGCCCCATGTTAGAGGTTGGTTTGGTGCATTTCTAACAATCACGACTTTAAGCCCTGATTGACTTGGAAAAAAAAAATAGCACCTGGATCTGGTTTAGATTATTTGTGGCAATGTTTTAAAATCACTGCACCTTTATATGCTGCAATATGTTAGAATCATGGCTGTATGTCATTTTCATATTAAGAAGAGGAAAGAAGCGATGAAGTGGAGGATAGCGTCAAAGATAATGGCAATTTAAGAGGATGCCTTCCTCTGGTTTTCAAAAGCGAACAACAAAAGGACATATAATTTGGACCTAAAGTCAATTTTGCACTTGATTTTCATCCCCTCTGTTCCAGGCTCAGTAGATCAAAGAGTTAGCAGCAATTAGCAGCATTTTTGGTCACTTTTTCTTTCCCATGTTAGTGGTTAAACACAGTGGTAGTATGGTTACTAGCACGTTTTGACCTAAATGAAATCTAAGAGCCATGGATCAGCAGTGGCTCATCTCTGTGAGAGGCAGGGTCTCCCAGTTCAAGCTCCTTGCCGAGTTTCAATTCAGTGGGAGCCAGGAACACAACAGGAGCAGGAAGCCTCTATCTTACACAGAGGCAAAATGCCACAAATTGCTTCCAGGCTCTAGATAGGCTGTGAGACTTTGCGACTCACAAGGCAAGCTCTGGCCTCTATGAGAGAGCACAGCTCCTTTGCTCCCTGATTTCCATTACTCCGCAAGAGCCAAGAGCAACTGGATTTCACGCAAACTCACAAACTGACAGTTTTACACTATGTTACTTCCTCTGTTTCTGAAAATCTTTCCATTGATGCAGAGAAGTGAGACTGTGATTTCATCTTTCCGCAACCCTATAGGGCTCTGGCAGTATTTCCCCCATTGTTTTGCCATGTGCCTGCTTCCTAGGTGTACATTTTGGCCTTCCTTCTTACCACCTGCATTAGCATTTTGCTGTGTTTCCAGCTGCAAGCATTGCTCTCATATATTTTCTCCACTTCCCACAGCAGCACTTGCACCCCTCAGTGGGTTCACATGACAGGTTTGGAAATGCCAGACTAAACTTCTACTAATTTTAAAAGGCTTGATGCCATCTTGGTAACTCTTGGGAGCATGGCAGGAGCAACCCCTTTCAGAAGAGTTTTATCAATCCACTTGTCTTTGTCAAGATACCTAGAACAAGTCCATTTAGTCATGCTAAAAACCTCTCTAATGGCAAGCAATGCATGACAACATTTTAAAGTATAGGAGATGATTCTGACAAAATTCACCTCCCTAACTAAACCACCTGGGTTTTCACATCTGAGATCTCTTCATTTCTACAAAAACTCTCATCCCACAGGAGAGATCTTTACAATGCATGGCTCTGTATTCTATGTTGTATGTTGAGGATGAACCCACCTTTAATGAAGCTCCGAGAGCAGCGCAGGCAGAAAAAGTATTGATTGTGTCCTTGGGACAAAGACATTTAACCTACAGAATGATTTAAAAAATCACATAAAATTGTTTTAAATTTCAAACACAATTATTATTCATGTTCTTTGCCTCTGAGACACTGTTAGAAGAGCTGGCTTGAAGCTGACCCTCAGATTCCCACCACCATATATTGTTTTGTGGATCAACTGCTTATTTATCATCCATGTCCCTGTGTAGAAGAATCCTGTTCCATTGTTTTAAGGAAAAACTCTATTGCGTGAATTCAACTGAAAAGAATTTTCATCACTTCTAAATAGGGAAGATGCAACACCTAGCTATGTTCATGTCTTTACTCTTCTCCAGACTTAGAAGGTAAGAGTGTGCAGATATATTTTGAAACTATTAAAGAGGAATATTACATTCAAATAGAGCATATACAGCCATGGACATTGCATAGCAGGTATCAGTTCACTTTCCAAATCAGTGTCTGCATTATTTATGGTAGTGGATGTCAACTTCCTTCCGGGCCTGATCAGCCACTGTCCTGCCTCTCATATAACCAAAAATATCTGTTCATAAAAGCACAATGAACACTAAGCACCATCAACTTAAACTGCAGTGGTGTAGTGCCAGATATAAAAGTAAAGAATGGGTAAACTCCTTATAGTTCACTGCAGAAACAAGTCTGTTTACCATTGAATATGGCACTGCTAATAGGGCCAGGCCCTGATGGCAAGTTAGGCCTGTTGTCTTTTTCAGAATCAATCTGTAGGGGATAACTGTGACCTATGTTGGTATAAGAAATGGGACAAAAAGAGAGTAGGGAACAGGGCACATACTGTGTTCAGAGGCATTCCAGAAGATAGATGCGTGGCATCTTCCTCCACAACAGCTAGCCGAGCGTTTAGAGCACTGTGCAGTCTGTCAAAGGGTTTTGCTGTGACATTTTCTGCGAGCCCTCCTGGTGGCCTCCGGTAGGTCTGGAAGATGCTGTTGGCTAGTGAATCTCCCCTTTGGCACTTTAACAGCCCTCTTCAGCTCATGGTCTTGATTCTCTTCCTGTTTCCAGAACAGACACTATGGTATAACGCAAAATAAAGTGAGAGCTGCAGGGAATTCACTGCACTGAAACAAAGGATAGAAGTGAAAGGGGACTATGAGAAGAAAGCATTTACCTCACTTCTGTGGTGTTTTTGAGGTGTCCACTGCTGACCACGTGCTTCAGAATTAACGAGCTTCCCCCGTTCCCCTCATTTTCCAGCATTTGTGAATTATATGGGAAAGCAGCTGTGAACGTGTCTGCCAAGTGAGTGCCTTTGAATTAGCCCGTCGGAGTGGTGGCTTGATAGGTAGGCAAGGTGAGGCTGTTTTGTAGGAAAGCCTATCATACTGTTGCTGTATTTAGTATAATCAGTAGGTGTGGCTGTAAGTATTCTTGCTGAAGCGCTCATAGGATAAGGAAGCCTGGGACAGCACAAAGACAGAAGGACAGCAAAAGAAAATGACAGCACGCTGTAACATTCTTCATTCCTGGAGAGTAGCACCAAATTAGCTTGAGATTGCTGAAATGATCGGAGAATAGTGAAATGGAGACAACCAGTTGTGTAATTTGACTCACAAATAGCTTTGATCTTCAAGTGTTTCCTAAACAACATTTTAAAATTGTAATACTACTCAGTTGTTATGCTAATATACTGTATAAATACTTGTGCTTCAGTAAATAAGTAGCTAATTTACTCTTCTTATTTCTGCTGATACAAATGTTTTTGAGAACAAAATTCTCCTTTTCAATAGAAGCAGAATATTTTGAGTAACTACCTTTTTTGTTTTGTGCCTGTGTGTGTGGTGGTGGTTACTATGGCAATAATCTGGATTCAAGATTTAAACTCTGAAAGTGGTTTCTATAACAACATGTTAGGATGTTTTGGCCGTACAGCTGAAGTAAAAAGATTCAAGATTAACCCTTTATGGCCACAACATGTGTAGCCACAATGACAAATGCTTGCTTGTTTGTCAGAAGTATGTTTATACCTTCCCAAGTACATTAAGCAGATCAAGTAATAATTCCAAATATGTATAGAGCAGGTCAGGTCCTAGGGAGGTGCACTTCCATCCTAGGTGAAGGTTGGAAAAGAGAAATGACACCACAGTAACTATAAACTGCTTGTTACATTAAATAATTGAGACAACGTGGGAAAGCAGAGAAGCAATGAGTGAAATTAGGGTGAAGGGTGCAATACACAAATAAGTAGGGAGATGGGCAGGGAAGGGATAAAGTAGCATTAGTTCAAGATTTAAGAAGTTTGAGTCTTCAGTCTGGAAATCAGAACTGTGTGGAAAAACCTGAAATGGGCTATTCACAGAGAATCTGAATGGAAAAGCTATTTTGAGGGCTAAGATAGCCCCTTACCTGGCTTTGTTTAATCCTGAATGGCATGTTCTTATGTCCTTTTCTTTCCCATATGCCAAATGCTTATCCACACATGGCATCTCTTCTTTTCGGTCTATGGTGAAGGTATCTGATCCCAATTTCTGTCACTGTAGATTATGCAGCTGTGCTCATCTCTTCTCTGGTTCTTCAAGATACATCAAGTAGCATTTCAAGACTGAATATATATGCACACCCACAACTTTCTAAGGCTGTCTTGGCAAGGAAGTTATTGTCATAGTGATGAACTGTATCTTCTATGTCATAGTGACTGCAGACAAACTGAGATATGCCTAGTTATACCAAAGCCAACCATTCTTCAATGCAGCACTAAATACCTTGCGCAGTACTTGAATATTTCCAGTTAAATGCTAATTATTTGAAGATCTCACTAAAGTCACAGAGCCTGATATTTCAGTGATAGATTCACACATTTGTTTTAACATCTCAGGGCAAATTTTAAACAATAAATGAACACAAGCATTGAAGGTTCTCCAGACATACTTCTTCTAAGTCCAGACACAGGGCTATTTGAATCCTTGGGAATATGTTACACTGATTTTTCTAGTGAAATTATTTGGTTATAAGGTAAAGCCTGTGAACAAATAGTATGTGCTGTTGCTGAGTCAACAGAAAACAGATTGAAATAGTAGTGCTAAGAAAAGCAACTGTTGCCTCATTTACTCCAGTGAAATTTTGTCTGTCAAAATGATGGACAGCAACCAAGACATTGATATTACCAGTTATTTTAACACATTTTTTAAAAAGCACATATTTTCTATTTTTTTTTTTGAGAGAACATCATTTTTTCCTATTTCCTAATTTTATTTTTTCCTTAGGAACATTTTAAAAATTTAATTTCTCAACTTCTAGACCAGCATATGCATTACAGCAAGAGATAGGAAAATTAGAGACATAGCAGCAGACAGGTACCTTAATATGTGTGTCTTTAACAATATGTGGATGTTAGAGAATGATACCTTGCCTTAGTTTCCCTCCAGCTAGGGCATGATTAGTTTTCTGGTATACATTCCATTCCATTCCAGAACATGTGAGTTAAGAACAAAATGTCAGATTTTGCTGTGACCTGCATTAGCTGTATTAGCTGGTGTAGCTTCCTAGTTTTAATTCAAAGAAGGTATGAAATAATAGCTTTGTGTTAAAAAGAAAAAGAAAAAGCCCTCCCCAAAGCACAGTAGGCTTGTCAATGTTGATGACTATATGACTATCAAGAAGTTAGTTATGTTCTGTTAGAAATTTTTTTTTTCTAGAAAATAGACCACCTCTGTTAAGAAGGTCAGAAAAATCTCTGAAGGTTAGGTAAAAAGACCCTGAAGCAGTTAGTGCTGAGAGCTTCTGTGAAGCTCAGAGTCCTTCTTCAGGAAGAAAAGGCACATCTGAAAAACAGTATTGCAAATTACAAGCAGCCTACAGGTATGTTGAACTGATTAGCCAAGTCCAGGCATGACCAAATTCAAATGGACTCAAGGTCATAATAAAGTGATTAGTGGTAATTGAAATTTCATTTAAAATCCTGCTGCCGATTATGATGTTTCACCAACTTGTAGGAGAAGTCATGCCCAGAAAGAACAGGTCTTTGCTGAAAAACATTTCTGTCAAAAACAGCCTAGCAGAGTTTGTGAGGATTTGTTTACAGACCTTGAATAGCTAACAAAGATTGCTTGATCAGATTCTCAAAATTGGGGATCATCAACTTACTTTACTTTTGATTTTATGAATTTAAGATGGCAGAATACTTTGAAAAGCCTACAAGAATTCTATAGCCCTCTGAATCAAACTGAATCTAGAAGAAATCCTCAGGATTCTCAATTAGGAAAGATCTGAGGGTAAGCACTTCAGAATACCTGCTTTACTGAGGAACGCTAGTCTTCTCGTCAGGAGTCAGAACATCTGTACCAAATTACCTTGGCCCATTCAAAACTCCTGTCCTGTTTATGTTAACTTTCCCACTAAATTAATTTTTGCCCTCATCCATTGTCATTCTCATGCACATTGTCATTAGTGCATTCCAACATCATAAACAATATTGTTTTGCATTGTTACAGTGGTTCTGGGTCACTAAGGAGTCATTACTAGACAGAAATCATGCATTTTTAGTGCCGATTAGTAATATAACCTCAATTATTCATGTACAAACAACATCACTTCAATGCACTTCACTAAGCTTATCCAACTGACTCTCTCGTTTTGGATGTTTCTTGTGCCAGCTCTCTACAGGACTATTGACATACCTGTAGTAGTACTGATGATTTTCCAGTAGGTGGCAAGCTTTACTGCAAAGAATTTTGCAGAGCACAATCTAGGCGATTCTAATGCATTTCATCTTCTGAATATACTGCCAAACGTCTCATCTACATCAAAAGGATGCAACCATGGAGTAAAATGCTTGGCACTAATTCCTCCAGTATTAGATTAATGTACCGATGTTTATAAAGAGACTGATAATTACTTCAGATGTCAGTCAGTGTAAATCCAAAGTGATCAGCATTTCGTTTCAGTGTTTCTAACAAATTTTAAGAATCTCTGTCAGAACATGTTTCAGTGTTTCTAACACTGAATACAAATTTTAAGAATCTCTGTCAGAACAAGTCACTGCTTAAGTGATCTTAATTGGTTAAGAATGAAAATGACTATGTGTATCTGAACTAGAACGTGAGGCCTTTTCAGGTTATCCCTATGCAACATTACCAAAAGTCAAGCTCCCAACAAAACCAAAATATTTATTTCCTTTTCTTACATCTCTTTCTGCATATGTAGTAAATAATCTCAGACTGAGCCAGCCTTTGCCTCAGACACCATTATACTCTGCTACATCACATCTCAGAGCATAGGGGGGGTTCAGATTCTACGTTACGTTTTTTTTTTCTCTGCTATTTCCATGTAGTTCTGAATAGTGTTAGGTTTCCAAACCCATTCTTCCACTTTACTCCAGTGCAGCAGGGAAACTGAGTTTCCTTTTGGGAGGCAGGGATGCAGTGTAAATAACTTCTCAAGGAGGTGGAAAATGGTGCTCTGACTGTGAATCCAGGGTCCAACGATTTTCTGACACGTGTCATTTAGGAACATGACTCACATCAAAAAATCATAGAAACATCCCGGTAAACTGCATACCATTTGGTAACCACAGCTTGATAATTACATGCTCTTTGATGATTGTCTCTTTGAGATGGAGCTTTGTTGCTCAGGCAAAACTATTGTATGGTACCCCTAACAAAAACTCTTGATCCTAGTCTTTAAATCATGAGCAAGCTAAAACTCAATAACAATTACATCTCTGCCAAGAACTTCAAAACTCTTGTGTTCCTCAAGAACTACAAAAATAATAAAACCCATGGCACAGTGCATGAGAAATGAAGATAAAACTCCAGAAGTCCCTTAGTGTTTTGCTGTAAACTTTTAAAACAAATCAAACAGAAACATCCTCCTGGCATTACTGGAACAAACACGTTTACATTGAATTGTCCATCAGCAATTTCTGCGTAAGAAATTTGTTTTAACAAAAGCCAGAGGAGCCAAAGTTAAGATACTAGTGTTTAAAAAAATCCAAGAAAGGCTTATTGTTTTGCATTTTCCCTGTTGTGGTTTCACTTTGGAGAGAAGTTGGTTGCCTTGACTACAGACTATGCTTTCAGGGCTTCATTTCTTCTTCCCTCATTTCCACCCACTATTAGTGCCACAGTGAACTGTGAAACTTTATGTGTACCAATGCTCAAAACTAGTATGCTGCTGGCAGAACTGGAAAAAAGCAAACCTTCAGCTTCTCTTATATGCAGTCATTTACAACATATTGCGTTGTTGCATGCAAATTAACTCTGAAGGAGCAGTAGTAACTTGCCTCTCATATCAGAGTGGTTCTACTCAAATACTTCAATGATTGACCTGACCTCTTGCAGTTTACACAGTACAGTAGTTAGACAAAGTTATAACTTAATCATAGTCTAATATCTTCAAATGCATTGTACACATGCAATTTTAATGAATTTTAAGTAGATAGACAGTTTGAAAGGCAAGCTCTTTATTTAGAGTTGCTCAATCCCAAGAAAAATGTGAGATGAAAAATTTCCTAAGAAACCCATTCTAGCTCATTTTAACTCTAATTTATAGATTACAGTCAACTTTTGATTATCCAAGGTAAAGAGAAGAAACTAAGTACATGGATAATATACACATATATGTAAAGTGGGGTGTTACAACATACATAAGAGTGTGCTGAGAAGAAAGGTCTGTGATACTGCTGACTGTGGAGCAAGTCAGTATATCTACACCATGGCCAGTCTGTTATCTTGAATTTTGCTTTCAGTAAGTGCTGTGAGCTGAGAAATATACAACTAACATAGCATAGGGATGCAATATCTGCTCTCAGTGCAGAACTGAGTGTTAACAGGTGAGAGAAGATTGTTTTAAAGGCGAGCTAAATTAGAGGTACAATTTTTTTCCTGTTTCTGTTTTACATAACTGGAGATAAAGCTCCAACTCTCAATCTGCTAATCAATTCTTAGCTTTCTTTCTTAATGAGGTCTGTCTTCACCTGCGTTAAATAAAGATTATCTAGAAGCAAGCATACTTTCTTCTAGATACTTCTTCTCACTATCTCTGCATCAGAACAGAAAAAATCAGAACAACAAAAAATAGGTCATGTAAAAGCATTTATCAGGTTTCCCTTATACACGCAACCCAAAGAAATAATATTTCTATGTAATCCTTAAGACTTGTTGATTTGTTTTAAATCATGGTGTCACTGTTGCCATCTGTGCTACTGCATAAATCCCATTCAACTTGTTTGAACAAATATTAATTAGGTACTTCACTCAATAAACATATCCATTTACGTCCACCAGGTTCATTCAAATTTGTGCTTTTTGTTCTCAGAGGCACTACTGCTCATGTGTACATGCCATCTGGACATGGTCCTGGGCAACCTGTTCTAGGTGACCCTGTTTGAGCAGGGGTGTTGGACTCAATGATGTCCGAAGGTCCCTTCCAACCTCAACCATTTGATGATTCTGTACGTCTCAAGTCAGAAGCCGCAAGAATGAAGCACAACTCACTTTTCCAATTTCTGTATTTATTAGTATAGTGTCATATCTGTGTAAGCTATTTAAGTCTTTTCTAAGCTGATAAGGCCTCCTCAAGCTTTCTTCTTCTACCTCTCGTTCCTGGGGCTATAACCAAGTTAAATAATTATA